CTGAAAGGTTGGTGGTTCAAGTCTACCCAGAGGCACCTCAGAAGAAAAGCCTGGCAATCTGCTTCTGAAAAATTAGTCATTGAAAATCCTGTGGAGTACGGTTGTACTCTGACACACATGGGGTCACCATGAGTCAGCCCTGACTCCACGACAGCTGATTAAAGCTTCTCAGAGGATAGAGCCTGGAGGAATGTCTTGGGGAATGGCTAGGCTAGTGAAAGAGGTGTGACTGTACCAGGTAGGGACAGTAGCACATGTTAAGTAGGGCTGGGGTGGGTAGGCGATTGAACAGGATGCTACAGCATTCTTGATAAAGCGGGAACCAAGGGTCTATGTGGGGGAGGGGCAGGAGGGGAAACTGGAAAAGTAGATGGAGTCCATGTAGTCTTGTTCACTAAGCTAAGGAGTTTGATCTTTATCTTGAAATCTTTGGGAATCTTTCAGAGGAGAGATCTAATCCAGTATATATTCTAGAAACATCTCTTTACAGCTGAGCAGAGAATGTGAGGGACTCAGAATGGGTAAGAGCACCAGTTAAGGGACTTTTGGAAAAAGCAGGTAAGAATGAATGAGGAGAGTTGATGAAATCCCCCCAGGTTGTACAGGGGTAGTTAACAGTGCCTGGAGGGTTGGCCAAAGGCCCTCAGACAAATTCCCATCAGCCTACCATGTCATCTGTCTTTCCCAGGACAGCCACCCCGTGGATCTGGAGATTTGTATGTTATAAAAGGAAAACATTACACCTTAGTGTGGATAATTTGAATTTGTTAATCAGACACATTCTTCTAAAAACTCTCCCAGTTATAACGTTTAGCACAGGTAAGAGAGCGGAAAACAAACCATTAGGTCGATTCCTACTCATAGTGACCCCATAGGGCAGAGTAGAACTGCCCCAAAGGGTGTCCAAGGTTGTAAACTTTACAGAAGCAGACTGCCACATCTTTTCTCCTGCGGAGCAGCTAGTGGTTTTCAACTGCCGACCTTTTGGTCAGCAGTTGAGCGCTTAACCACTACACCACCAAGGCTCATCAGTTAAGATAGTGGCTTATTAATCCACTTGACTCCCTTATTAGTAAGGAGAGACTCGAGCAGAAGAGCCTTCGCAGAGCTCCTTGCCTTCTGCTTCACCTCTCTTTCCTGCCAGTCTGAGGGGAAAAAAGGGGGACACACAAATTGTCAGGCTTGGAAAGCTCTGTGAGTTACCTCATTGTTCACTCGTTTTCCAGTCAGAATGGTGTAGGTCAGGAGTCATTTCTTGGTGCCATTTCTGAGACACTTAGCCTACACCACAGACTGACCCTACAAGGCTGAAATTTGCAGCTGGCTTCTCAGGCTGCAAATTCCCTTTGAGATATTCAGTATTACTCAGTGATTTAAGATCATTCAGTATCATTTTGAATGCAGTATGTGCATTCAAAATAAGTGGAGAAATTTGAAGTATAGTAGTTTTAGGAAGAAGATGTTATTTGGTTTGATGAATTAGCTGTTGCAGAAGTATGAGTTAATCATACTCGGCTCCACATCTCCCTCTGGGCAGCAGATGGCCAACCTGGGTGGTGGACCTGGCTGTACAATGCGTGTATCTGTACAATGCATTTCAGAAGCCCAGCTCCTGGGGTCAAGAGGGTTGGTTAGTAAGAGTTCATGTCAAATGTCTGCTATGGTTGTCTAAACAAATGCACAATGTTCCATCCCAGAAAGGAGTGTTCTGAGGACTCTGAGATTCACTGTGCAGGCAGTGATGAAACAAAGGGAGTTTTTCCTCTTGGAGTCCCACTGCACTGGGGCTTGTTGGCCTTCACGGTCCTCTCTGCAAGCCCATCTGTCCCTCCAGTTGGGGGGACGGCTGACTTGATGACAAGCTCGTGTGTAATTAATACCATAGATGAAATTGTTACTGTTGTAAGTGTGGTTGATTGGTGCATGCTATAAATCAAAATGATATCTACCCTAGCTGGTCTCTATCCTTTAGTTGTGGGTATTTAACCATAATTTGGTCCCTGAGACCCCACTACATCCCTGAGTTTGGGGATATAACCTAAGTTGAGATCCTTCGGAGGCTTTGTAATTTGTAACCTTACATTCTTCTGTCATAGTTCGTACAGCCACGTGAAGATCTTAAAAAGGCCCTAGGACAGGCCTGAGCTATATGGTAGGCGTAAAAACCCCCAGCCTATGTCCCCAGATTTCTCTTCATCTTTTGTCTTCCTTTATTTCTGAAGCTTTGTACTCTCAGTAAGCTGTTGCTATTCCCGCCCCCCTTTCCTTTATACTGAGCTTGGAGTCAGGTGACCTGATTTCTAGACCTGTGTTTAACCTTTAAAACGTGATCCTGGGCAAATCAAACTCACTAAGGCTAACTTTCCTTATATGTGGGAATTGGAGATAATAATACCTACTTTACAAAGTGGTTATGAATATGTGAATAAGATTGAGTAGAGTGATAAATATATGTGTGTATGTATGTAAGTATATGTATATGCCTGTGTATGTATATTATGCAGATATATTTTTTTAAAATTATATAGTTTTATGCATATTTCAGGTGGTGATATTATTACATTACCTAATCTGGGCTACATTAATTATATATCCATTAACCCATTGCCATCAAATGGATTCTGACTCACAGTGACCCTATAGGACAGAGTGGAACTGCCCCCTATAGGGTTTTCAAGGAGTGGCTGGTGGATTTCAACTGCTTACCTTTTGGTTAGCAGCCAGGGTCTTAATCACTGTGCCACCAGGGCTCCACATTAATTATAGGTATAATAAATTGCTTTTGCACATAAAATGATCATTTGAGGAATCTTTCTGTTATGCAGGGTAGAGAAAAACTAATGAGAGTAAACATTAATTATTTACTGTGAAGAAACTGAGGCTTAGAAAGATTTAGCAACTTGTCCAAATTTATATTATGTATACGTGGCAAAGCCATGATTGGAACCCTAAGTGCTGGCTCTACATTTTATGTAGGTATTAACTACTAGCATCGACAGAGTAGAAGGAAAGGTTTTTTAAGGTTCTTAATAGGTTTTAGCTGTTTTTTCCTCTGGTGTACTAGCTGACAGAGAGCTGTTATCCACAGGTTTGTTCTGTAGCTCAGGCAGACAACCTGGGAGTGTTAGCATTATCCAGGGGGAATTTTATAGTTTTAGTAAAAATAAATAAAATAAAATAAACGGATGCATGAACTTCAGAGCCAGATAAGTTTCTGGTTGTTGTACTTACCAGGGTTATAATCTTGGTTTTCATGGCTGTGATCTTTTGGAAGCAGATTGCCAGGCCTTTCTTCCAAGGCACTGAGGTGCCTCACCCATAAAAGTGAGGATAGTAATTGCTCCCTCATGTAGCTGTGAGCTCATGACACTAAGTATTTAAGAAAGCCTTGCTCATGACAGGCCACTCAATAAATATTAGTAGCCCTCTTTCTTTGGCAAAGTGAGTGTTTTTCCTTTTCAAATTCCCATTAATTGGAAAGCAATGTATTTTTTTAAATGAATTTAACTGTTTTCCACTTAAAGGAATAATAACAATTACAATAATAATAAAATTAAGAATAGCAAACATTTATTGAACATTTATTATGTGCCAGGCCCTGAAATTAGTGTTTCACTTATCTCAGATAATTTTCACAATCACTGTTTGAGTAGGTGCTATTATCAATTACATTTTGGAAACTGAGTTATGGAAGAGCCTAAGTTAAGCCAGCTGGGAAGTTGAGGCTTGAATCCCGGCCAACTGATTCTAGAGCTTGTTCTTTTAACCGTGGTAGATTGTGAGAATTCCTTGGATGAATGAAGAAAAACGTACTTTTGGTGATTTCTGTGATCAAGGGTCATTTTGCCGCTGAGGAAAAAAAAAAAATATCATGGACTTAATACTAAATTAAGGTAGATAATGAGCGGGGAAGCTTTTTTTTTTTTAAACCAGCATTCTACATGATTTTTATATTTCTAATTATATCTTTAATTCTATATCCCAGAGATATATAGAGATTTAGAATCAGGCCTTTGGAGTACTGTACAGCAACAGTGTCTTCCCTCTGGAATCTTGATTCTTGCTGTATACCCTGAATTCCATGATGCAGTTAGCACAAGACATTTTACCTTGGGGATAAAAGGTATTCTACGGAGACACTAGTCCCTGGGTGGCACAAATGGTTAAGTGGTGGGCTACCAACCGGAAAGTTGGCAGTTCAAACCCACCCAGCAGTGCCTCGGAAGAAAGGCCTGGCAATCCTCTTGCGAAAGGTCACAGCCATGAAAACTTTGTGGAGCACAGTTCCATTCTGAAACACACGGGTCGTGGGTCTCCATGAGTCAAAATTGACTTATCGGCAACTGGTTTGGTTTGATTTTGGTATGGGGACACTTAGTTGACTGTTAAAAGTATTTTGAAAAGATCACATTCGTTTCAGATGAAAATCTTATTTCAAAACTTCCAGAGAATCATTGTCCAACCACTGTTTTATTACACTTGTCATGAAAGACTAAACAAATAAATCAACGATCAGAATTCCTTACATCGTGGCTGAAGTGGTTTTCTTTCGGAGGAGGGGGTGGCCAGTTGATCATTATCCACTTTTGATCAGGGCCTGAACCCCTACCCTCCTTTTCTTCCTTCCAATTTTTATAGGAGTAGGTGGATAGTCCTGCTAATTTCTACTCTTATTTCTCTCCTCCTTTGAAAACCAGGAGGAAGGACGTGACTACATGTAAATCAGTGACTTATGGAATTCAGTCTTCCGATGGCAGAGGAAGTTAAGTGGAAACAACTTGTAGACTTGGCACCCGGTTGTATACCAGACACTGTCCTCTAATGGGCGTGTGGCCTTGAGCAAGTCGTTTTCACTACTCGATATGGTTTCCTTATCTATGAGTAAGGCATTAGGAGTACATGGTCCTTTTAGTTTTTAAGTTTTGGGTTTCTGTATGATAATACTGCAAGACTACTTTTATTAAGTCTGCACTATGGCTGAAAGATTATTCATTTGTTCCAGAATTTGTTGATGCCTTCTGCCTTCAAGAATCTCAAGCTGCTCTGATGATAGCTTAAGAAGACTGCATGCTGTTCCCTCTAGATGCCGAGCCAGGCCCACTTGGAACCTTGGAACTCAATCCTTCATGGAGACCAGTTCCCAGCAGGAATGGCAGTGGAGGAAATTGGCACCCAGATGGTTCCTCCGCGTGAAGTTGTCTCAGGATACAGGCCGACGCAGGAACACCTGGTAGCCGGGCTTGCCCTCTGTCAGTCATCCAGGGCAGGGCAGCATGGCGCGCATTCGGAGGAGGACGCTTTTGGCATCTTGCCTGTGCATCACAGCCACTATTTTTCTGCTTGTCACACTCCAGGTACCAAGAATTTAGGTTGCATGGTGTTGATTCCTGGGCCTTTGCCACCTGCCCACACCCACCCCATTCTCTCAGAACTCTAAGTACTATTTACCTCATCTCTCAGGAGCTTGGACTATCTAACTGTCCAAGACAGGGAAAGTACTTTTGTTTTTTTTTTAAACATATGAAACAGAGGTTTAGTGAGTGGGTACGCCCGGTAGCAAGAAGTCGCTGAGATAGGGGCTCAATTTGTAATTCTTGTAGAATCCGGGTTCCAAAGGAACAGAAAAGTAAAACTTCTTCAGTCTGTCTTGTGGGGTCAAAGTTGGGTGACTTCCTCAAAGTCCCTTATAGTTGTCACATCTCAAAGATGGCTTCTTGAAGAAGCAAGGACTTTTCTGAGAAAGATTAGCCTGTATCTTGTGGTAAGCGCAGAGCACAAACAGACGTTAACGAATTTGTCATTCTTGACATATGCTACTAGACCAAAGACTGAAGTGAAACAATTCTTTAGTCTTCCCACTTATTCCCTTTAATCAGTTATTCTGGATTTCTTTTACTTATTTCAAATAAAATAAAAATTACATGGTGATAGCAAAAATACAGACATAAATTCAGGTGTATTTTGTACCCATTGAAGTACCAGCAGAGCCTTGGTGGCACAGTGGTTAAGAGCTCGGCTGCTAACCAAAAAGTTGGCAGTTCGAATCCACCAGCTGCTCCTCGGAAACCCTATGGGGCAGTTCTGCTCTGTCCTATAGGGTCACTATGAGTCAGAATCTACTCAACAGCAATGATTTTTTTTTTTGGAAGTACCAGCTGCCCATCTCAGAATAAAAGGACTTTGAAAGATTATTTGCGGATGCGAGTAGTTCAGATGTGAGGCTGATGAACAGTAAGGTATTGTCTGGGCTTTTTTATTTTACAGAATATCCCTTCTCCTTTGACTAGGATTGAACAAGGTAGTCCTTGTAAAATTACATTGGCAGACAGCCTGGCATTGTGCTTCTTCCACCTTCTGCTGCCCAGTTGGGATCCTGGTCAGAGGCAACAGTTGCCTCTCCTCCGTCTCGGAGGTTTCCAGGCCCCGCACGTGCAGGGGCGGCTGGGGTTTTCTGCTTCTTTCTCTGAGAAGTTATGAGAGAACTTTGATCCCATTAGACATTCACCTTGGCACTTTTTCCAGTCATTAGGAATGTCTGTGTCTAAGCTAAGGGCTTTCCTTTTGATATGAGTCTGTGTTGCCACATTTTGGATATTTGTGTGATTTCTAAGCTTCCAGGGTATGAGAGGTGGTGTGATGACTGAAGCTAAACCTTTGTTGGATCTCGCTTTCAGTTTTCCCATCGAGAGTATGGTTTGGGCTGTTTCCCAATCCTAACTGGTACACTGAATGATTCAGTGCTCACAGCTGCTGCAATACTACTTTTTTAAACACCAAAAATGAAAAAAAAAGATACCTATGCATATACAACTTTTCCTGTTTTTACTGGTTTTAGGCTAGACAGATGAGATAATTTGCCACATGAGTTGTGTAAACCAAACCAAAAAACCTGTTGCGGTTGAGTCGATTCCAACTCATAACGACCCTGTAGGACAGAGCAGAACCGCCCCAGAGGGTTTCCAAGGAGCGGCTGGTGGATTCGAACTGCCGACCTTTTGATCAGCAGCCAAGTGCTGAACCACGGTGCCACCAGGGCCTCATATTTTGTATATACTGTTGGTAAATTTTTGGAGTGTATACTTATCTTTAGGGACGCTATGAGTCGGAATCAACTCGATGGCAGCGGATTTGGTTTTTGTTGGTTTTATACTTTATTTACTTTTGAATTTTGCTTACTTTTAATTGCACAAATAATTCATGAATACATGTGGAATATTTTAAAACAAATCCCGGACACCATATCATTTTGCCTGGATATACTTTAGTATGATTTTATACCAACTAGGAACTTTAAAAATTTAATATAACCATAATACTATTATAACACCCAACAAAATGAACAATAGTTACTCAATATCACTTAATTCCAAGGCCATGTTAAATTTTCCTCAGTTGTCTGAAAACAGTCTTTATAATCAGTTGGTTTGAATCTGGATTAAACAAAGTCTACATGTTGTATTTATTTGGTGAGTCTCAAGTCGTTTTTTTTAAATAAAAGTTGGTTCTGCCCCACCCTTTATTCTATGTCATGGATTGTTGAAGAACTGGGTCATTTGTCCTCTTAAATTTCCCAGATTTTGACTTTGGCTGACTTTATCCTGCTTTTGTTCGGTATGTTCCTCTATCTCCCATATTTCCCACCACCTGGTAGTGATATCTGAAGTAAAATATTTTTTATTGAACTGTTCAGCAGAAACATGTCTCCTTAAAGCAATCCCTGTTATTTGGAAATGGACATATACCTCACAAAGTAGACATTGATAAGAAATGTAGAGCAGAAATTTACCTTCAAGTTACACTGCATGACTTCCTAAAAACCTTTCTTTCAAGTTATTGGTTGTACATTGGAGAGAAAGGTGAGAAGAACAGATAGTTTGTGGCTACCAGTCACTTCCATTCCTTCAAGCTGCTAGGGAATATCTACATTATTATATTATCATGAAAATGCCTAGAAAGCTATTGTCAAGGGTTAGACTTCAGTTTTCAGAGATTGTTTTGCTGTTTTAATGCTGAATGTGGTATCACAGATGATATTGTACATGATTTTTAAAAGCTAATATGATTCCTTATTCCCTTTAGAGTACTACTTGACTTTCACTTCATGGTTCTTAATATTCTTTTGGTCTGGGAACACTCTGAGAATCCAATGAAATCTGTGGGCCCTCCTCAGGGAGTTCAGATTCCATGGACCTCATCAGCAGTCAGAGGCCTTTTTCTAACACCAGGGGGCGCAAGCACGTAAACGAGGCACCACGCTTGGCTGTTGAAAGGGGGCCAGAGGGCCGCACTGGGACTGCCTCTGGTTGACTAATGGAGGAGTTAATCCATAAAAACGTGCTTTTCTTTAGCTGCTTTGTCTTAAACAGCGTGACTAGTAAAGTTTCAGTTATATATTAAACACACCAGCCCCTTCTTTACGCTGCTTGCTCTAGCATTTTTATAATGTCCTGTCAACATATTACCTTCCAGTTTGATATAAAGGCAGCACTCTGTTTCCACGCCCACCTCATCCTCCAGATTACTGCTACCGATCACCGTGCTGTCCAGTGACCCAGACTCAGAGAATCCCAAACAAATGAAAAAAAGTAGTTTTAAGTGGAAGCCCAGTGCACACATTCTATTACGTGGGTAATACGGACTCTAGGGAATTTTTGAGTTAGATAATACTTCACTATCTCTATTCTACAGAATTAGAAGCATAACGCATACCCATGTTATGACTACTTTAATTGTACTAAAATGATACCAGTTTGTAATTTATAACTTATTTTCCTTACAATGTAATTTTCTAGTAATAAAGAAAAAAAGCCCCATTGCTGTCGAGTCAATTCTGACTCATAGCAACCTTATAGGACAGGGTAGAACTACCCCATTGGGTTTCCGAGGAGTGGCTGGTGGATTTGAACTGTTGACCTTTTGGTCAGCAGCTGAGCTTTTAACCTCTGTGCCACCAGGGCTCCAATCTCTAGTAATAGTTGAGTAGTAACTCTGTTTTTCATGGGTTTCATTAAAAGATAAAACTATTTCAGGACACTGTATGTGCCTATGAAATGGAGGAGAGAAATGTGTCTCTTTTAAGTGTTTAGCAGAACTATTAACCATCCTCGTTGGTAGATGCTTGGAGGCTTTGGTAGGCAGATTAATGACCCTCCCCAAAATGTCCATGTTTTTCTTATCCCCAGAATATGTTCCTTTATTTGGCAAAAGGAACTTTGCAGATGTGATTAAGGTTATGGATCTTGAGGTGGAGAGAGTATCCTGAATTATCCAGGTGGACTTACCTGATCATGAGTCCTTAAAAACAGAAAATCTTTCACGGCTGTGGTCAGAGAGAGATCTGATGATGGAGAAGGGTCAGAGAGATGCGAAGTTGTGGTCTTTAAAAGATGGAGGAAGGAGACCAAGGGATGCAGGTGGCTTCTGGAAGCTGGAAAAGGCGAGGAACTGAATTCTCCCCTAGAGCCTCCAGAAAGGAATGTAGCCCTGCTGACGCATTGATTTTATCTCAGTGAGACCTGTGTTGTACTTCTAACTTACAGAACTGTAAAAGAGTGTCTCAGTCATCTAGTGCTGCTCCAACAGAAATACCGCAAGTGGATGGTTTTAACAAAGAGAAATTTATTCTCTCACAGTCCAGTAGGCTACAAGTCCAAATTCAGAGCATCAGCTCCAGGGGAACACTTTCTCTCTTGGCTCTGGAGGAAAGTCCATGTCATCAGTCTTCCTTTGGTCTGGGAGCTTCTCTGCGCAGGAACCTCAAGTCCAAAGGACGCGCTCTGCTCCCAGCACTGCTTTCTTGGTGGTATGAAGTTCCCATGTGTCTCTGCTCGCTTCTCTCTTTTATATCTCAAAAGAGATTGCATTAAGACACTGATCTAGTCAACCTCATCAGTGTAACCTCATCACAGTGATAGAATTTACAACACATGAGGAGATCACATATAATCTCATCATAGTGGTAGAGTTTACAACACATAAGGAAATCACATCAGATTACACAATCATACAATGCTGGGAATCATGACCTAGCCAAGTTGCTACACACATTTTTTGGGGACACAATTCAATCCATGACAGAGAGTAAATTTGTCTTGTTGGAAGCCACTAAGTTTTTGGTAATTTGTTACAGCAGCAATACGAGACTAATGCAGAGGATAATCATCAAGATGAACAGGAGATGTGAAAAAGGAAATGAAGTATTCTTACTCTGGTAATACTTGTCTTCTCTTTTAGGTAGTTGTTGAGCTAGGAAAATTTGAAAGGAGGAAGTTTAAAAATTCCAATTTGCAAAATGGACACCCAAAAGTGGAGGGAGAGCCTGAACATCGCTACTCATTCCTTAAGAAAGAAGCATTGACCCCAAATGGGAAAAAAACACTGGACACTGATAGCTACCCCATTATGCTCTGGTGGTCCCCGCTGACGGGGGAAACGGGAAGGCTAGGCCAGTGTGGGGCAGATGCTTGCTTCTTCACCATCAACCGGACGTACCTGCATCACCACATGACCAAGGCGTTCCTCTTCTATGGTAAGTAGGGCTTTGGCCTTCCTCCCTTTGCTCCCTGCCATCTTGCTCCAAAGCTGAGTTCCTGCCTTCCTCCTGCATTCATTTCCCAGGGCTGCTGGGACAAAGTACCACCCGCTGGGCTGTTTAAAACAACAGAGATCTATCCTTTCACGGTTCTGGAGGCTAGAAGTCAGAATTCAGGGTGTCCACAGGGCCACACTCTTTCCGAAGGCTCTGGGGGAAGGTGCTTCCTCATCTCTCCCAGTTTCTGGAAGCCCCAGGTGTGTCCTGGCTTATAGATGCATCATTCCAGTCTCTGCCCCCATCATCACATGGCTGACTTTCTTCTCTGTCTGTCTCTGTGTCTCGTCTCCTTATCTAGTAAGGACATTAGTCATACTGGACTAGGGCCCACCCTACTTCACCCAGTATGACCTCATGTCACCTTAACTAATACCTGCAGATACGCTATTTCCAGATAAGGTCACAGTCACAAGTACTGGAGGTTAGGGCTTGAACATATTTTTTTGGAAGACACAAACCAACCCATAATACCTCCCAAGGAAGAGTTGGTGGAGCTCCCCTTGAGAACACTCTGCCAGGCCTGATTTCCTTTGTATTTGCTCCATAGAAGGCATGAGCATTCGGTAAGTACATCAGATAAATGAGTCTGACCAACAAAGAGGTGGTTGGCTGGGCCTCTTGGTATTTATGGAGAAACCACCGAAAAGCCCATTGTCATTGAGTTGATTCAAACTGGTAGTGACCCTGTAGGACAGAGTAGAACTGCCTGAGAGGTTTCCAAGGAGCCGCTGGTGGATTCATGCTGCCGACCTTTTGGTTAGCAGCTGAGCTGTTAACCACTGTGCCACCAGGGCTTCTATTTATGGAAGGAAGAGATATTTCTTCCCACCTGTTCACACTTAGGTGCTGTGCTCTCTGCATTTTAGATGTAATGTGTTGGGTATTGATTATACTGCTGACGTGAATTTGGAATGTCACCTGTGATAATAGATTTTGATTCCCACAACAGATGTTTTATTGGACGTAAGTCAAGCACAATGTTCTTCATTTCATTAGTGTCAGATTAATCAGAAATAAAAATAAAAAAAATTATTCAGCATCAGTTTTCAGAAGCAAATTGGTATTTATCACTCCTTGAGGATGGTTATATATCCTGCTGGGATTGAACGGCAACCATACCCAGGGGTAGATGGAGTTAGCAGGATGCCAGCAGCAAAGTTAGAAATACGAGGTTTCTGGGTGATGAGTGGTGGGGTTGAGGGGAAATATAGATTAGCAAATGAGACCAAATATAGGCAGGGTTAATCAGTTACGTTACAAAGTCAATGAAGGGAAATCTGCTTTAAGGTAGATATGAATATATATGTGTGTGTATGTGCATATAAATATATATCAAAGAGCCCTGGTGGCGTCTGGGGTCTTAAAAGCTAACGAGCTGCCATCTAAGATGCATCAGTTGGTCCCAACCACCTGGAGTAAAGGAGAATGAAGAACACCAAAGTCACAAGGAAAGCATTAGCCCAAGAGACAGAAAGGGCCACATAAACCAGAGACTTCATCAGCCTGAGACCAGAAGAACTAGATGGTGCCTGGCTACCACTGATGACCGCCCTGACAGGGAACACAACAGAGAGCCCCTGACGGAGCCGGAGAAAAGTGGGGTGCAGAACTCAAATTCTGGTGAAAAGACCAGACTTAATGGTCTGATTGAGACTGGAGGAACCCCAGAGAACATGGCCCCCAAACTGTCTGTCAACCCAGCACTAAAACGATTCCTGAGGCTAACTCTTCAGTCAAAGATTAGACTGGACTGTGGGACATAAAATGATGCTTGTGAAGAGTGTGCTTCTTAGTTCAAGTAGATACGTGAGACTAAATCGGCAGCTCCTGTCAGGAGGTGAGATGAGAAGGCAGAGAGGGTCAGGAGCTGGTTGAATAGACATGGGAGATCAGGGTGGAAAGGAGGAATGTGCTGTCACAGTACAGGAAGAACAATTAGGGTCACATAACAACATATGTATAAATTTTTGTGTGTGAGACTAACTTGAATTGTAAACTTTCACTTCATGTACAATAAAGTAAAATTAAAAACTGAAAAAAAAAAAAAAAAAAGAGCCCTGGTGGCACAATGGTTAAGTGCTCAGCTGCTGACAGAAAGACTGGCAGTTTGAACCTACTCGGCACAGCAGCCCTGCGGAAGAAAGACCTGGCGATCTGTTCATGTAGAGATTACAGTCTAGAAAACTCTAATGGGCAGCTCTATTCTGTCACACGGGGCTGCTTGGAGTCGGATTTGACTCAACAGCATCTAACAACATGTATGGTATATACCTGCACATATCTGTATATATGTACACACAAACAGCTAGTCCCCAGCTTGGTTTTTAAGGGCAATGGTAGTTCAGTGGTAGAATTCTCGCCTTCCATGTGGAAGACCTGGGCTTGATGCTCAGCCAGTACACCTCATGCGCAGTCACCACCTGTCTGTCGATGGAGGCTTGTGTGTGGCTATGATGCTGAACAGGTTTCAGTGGAGCTTCCAGACTAAGACGTTGTAGGAAGAAAGGCCTGGTGATCCATTTCCAAAAATCAGCCAGTGAAAACCCTGTGGAGCTCAACGGTCCTATCCCTTGTTCATGGGGTCAGCATGAGTCAGGGTCTGACTGGATGGAAGCTAATGACAACAAAAATTGGTTTCTGGAGTGGCGTAAGGTGTGTGGTTTTCAACCAACTGAATTAGAAATTCAGCTCATTTATAAGGTCTGTTGAGCAAAATAGAATGAAGACATTGTACTTTTCTGTCTGAGGGTTCCAAATTCTAGTTAAGTAGGTCACTGAAAACTGCAAATGTGGCTCTGTGCAGCGGGATTGAAAGAAAAGGCAAAAGACTGATTGAGGAATCCAAAGCTGGCCTAATTAAGGGAAAAGCAAATGTGAAGGATTACGGGACCTGGAAGCTTTTGTAAACCAGAACGTTTTTGGATTTGTCTGTTACCTTTTAGCCTACCTTCTTGTTCTTTTCCCTAGAAATGATTCATTTACTTAATATAAACACATTTCTGGAGGTAAGAGAGACTTTCCCAAGTGATTTTAATGAATAGTGTCTGGGTTGAGCCATCTGAAAAATGCAAGGATTTAGCTACATTAACAATTCTCTGCACCAAAAACTAAGCAGTCACGAGTGAATAAATCAGGTTTTTTTTTTAACCAGTGGTCCACAGAGTTACTGAAGTTAGTTAGTCTTAGAAACTGTCACCATAGCGATTTGACAACATAATTCTGTGTTTGTAAACAGTTCTCTTGAAGAGTGTCCCACAGGAAGGAGGGGCTAGTGCGCTCAGTGAGTGAGGGTAGAGGAGGAGGACAGCTTGTGTTTTAGGTGTACTTGTAAAGAGGAGTTTTAGTGAATATGGGAGCACGGAGAGAAAGAGGAAACCAGGCTACTGCAATATTTCACTTCCTCGGGAATATGGATAATCGCACACCTTGAAGAAGCCTGGAGGTTAGAGAGAGTTGGTCCTACCGCAAGAACTACAATCCAGCTGTTTGCTATTGGATCTTGAGTGATTGGTGGGGGCCACAGCAGCTCTCCTCTGGGCTGCAGGATCTCTGCTTTCCCCCTCACGGTTTTGATTTTTAAAGCACTTCACTTAGAGTGACCACATTTGCTTTTTAAAATAGCCTCATAGGTAGGACTTATTATATCTGTTATAATGAAGAGGAAACTAAGGAACAGTTAAGGGCTTATCCTAGTTCCCTTATGTGGGTGGTAGGAGCTAGAACTTCCTCCTAAAGGAAATAGTTTACATTATTATCTAACCTTGGAGAAGACTTAGGGTAAAAGAATAATCAGAATTGGGTAGTATCATTCGGGAAGACTTCTTGAAGGACATGATTTGTGAGGAAGGTTTATTAAATAGAGAATCTGGTCAGAAGAGGAGAGTGTAGAGAGACTCAGCCACAGAAGTATCATGAGCAAAGCAACAAAAGTCAGCATTTAAGTAAACTCTGTGACCTGGCATATTAACGAACAGGTGTTCTGGTTAAAAAGGTCTCTTGAGTAATAAATGGTCTCTATATACACCTTCTATGAGGTCTCTCGGCAGCACAGACGGTTTGCGCTCAATTAGTAACTGAAAAGTTGGTGGTTTGTACCCACCCAGTGGTGCTGCAGAAGAAAGGCCTGGCAATCTGCCTCCTTAAAGATTACAACCAAGAAAACTCTATGGAGCAGCTCTACTCTGTGATAGATGGGGTCACCATGAGTTGGCATTGAATCAACTCGATGGCAATGGTTTTTTTTTTTTTTTGATTAGGGATTACTAGTTCTCGAAGGGAGCCCTGATAGTGCAGTGGTTAAGAGCTCAAGTGCTAACCAAAAGGTTGGCAGTTCAAATCCATCAACCGCTCCTTGGAAACCCAATGGGGGAGTTCTACTGTGTCCTACATGGTTGTTATGAGCCGGAATCGACTCAACGGAGCAGGTTTTGTTTTGTTTTTTTAGTTCTTGAAGAGTCGTAATGAAATACATTTAGAACAAATGACAGCAGACACACCTTATTTAGGGGGTTGTCACCATCCCTGATGGAAAACTCTAGATCTTCCAGATCCCCTACGTTTGTGCCCACTCTTAGGGAATGGACAATCTACGGCCACTTTAAGTTGCAAACACAGTTTCAAATTAACTCTGAACATGCCTATTGTTATATCTTTTTACATTCCCCTGTGTGGACCTGTTTCACACTGGAAGACTGCAGTGGAGAAGCGGCTTTGGTCTTGCTGCCTTATTCCCTCTCCTTGCTCTCCCTCTCGCTCCCTCTCTAGCTGCTTTTTGGACCCTGCCACCATCTCAGTGAGGAGATAGAAGAGAATTAAGGAGACAGGACGTTTCTTACTTGGTCCTGTGGCTTCCTGTCCTCTGAACCCGACAGATGGTTAAAGCTGGTGTCTTTGGGTGGGCATAGAAGACAATTAAGTGTATTTTTTCTCTTCTGGGC